TTCTTTTGTCAAATCTGAGCAAGAATGCACAGAGAGCAAGGTTAACATGTTCATGTAGCAAACAAACACATTATTTACAAATGCTACTAACTGTTCTTAGCACTTAGAGATAGATTGTGAGTGTTGCTATGCACCTATGAACCTAAGAGGTTGGTATTGTACTAGGCCTGTAGATCTATGTATTTTGTTACATTTGCATCCTTATTATTTAAAAACATATATACCATAGCCTTGTATCATTTACTTTTGTTGTATTTTGACTTTTGTGCAAACCCTTTAAATACTAATTTGATTTGCTGTGTTTTGTTTGCCTACCTTTGCCATGCAAATATTATTCATGTCTTGAGTTTACTAACTTAATACTTGATTGTTTGAAGTGCTTATTTCATTGCCATCTGAAGATTAAGATGAAGTGCAAACATTAATATATGTACTGTATGAGTGTGTGTAAGGAACATATTTAATAAATTCATTGCAAAAGATCAGATGTCTTACCTACAAACTTATTTTTGTAAAACACATAAAGTTTTTGTTTTATCTTCTCAATGCATTTGTGTTAAGACCATTCATAAAGTTGAGCCTGGATCAAATAATTTTACTCAAATGAGAAAAGGACGAGCTAGCCAGGATTTGAACCTAGAATCTTCTGATCCGTAGTCAGACGCGTTATCCGTTGCGCCACTAGCCCGATGAGATACAAGATGACGTCACACAGCATCTTGTTTTTAAATAAATAGAAGGAAAAATGTTTGATGAAAAGAACGTTATACTTCTGTACAATATAGAGAAAAGCGACGAGATACTAAGAGAAAAACCCAACCGTTTGTTCATTTGGATATTTCGGAGGTGGATGGATGTGACACCAGTTAAGTTCACAAGTGAGGTTTAGAATTTAAATGAAGGGTAAAATAAAACAGGTGATCCGGTTCGCAACTCATTAGTAAAATATCACTGAACATCATGTGCTTTACTTAAAATATATCTAGATAATTTATCCGCAGAGTCGCCAGGTATACGGAGACGTTGATTGGTCAATTATTGGTAGAATCTTGGTAGCAGACGGCGAGGGGATTGGCTCTCAATACCAAGAATGAGCTCGACTCACAGTTAGCAGGGAGCCACTAGCACAATTAAGTACAACAAACGTCTCACATATTTATATTTTTAGATAACTGTTTGAAAGGAAAAACATTTTATGAACGGACAATGTTATACTCCTGTACATTATAGAGAAAAACGACGAGAGACTAAGAGAAAACGAAACCATTTAGAACATTTGTATATTTCGGTACAAATCCCCTAACCATACTATGAACAGAACATAGGTAGACGCATTTGTAAAAGGTGGGGAAAAGGACGAGCTAGCCAGGATTTGAACCTAGAATCTTCTGATCCGTAGTCAGACGCGTTATCCGTTGCGCCACTAGCCCGATAAATTGAGCGATGACGTCACACAATCTGTACTTTAAACACTCGTTTTCTGCAGATATAAGTATTCTCTAACAGTTTAAAGCATGTAGTGTGTAGAATAAATAATGTTTTCTGACAAGAATCAGAATCAAAACACCATTATTAGTCCCACAGAAGGGACATTTAAGACAAGTGTACATTACTGTAGGGATGATAGAGTCAAGAGACTAAAAGAAACCAAACTGTTAAGACGTTTGCATATTTCGGTATATTGGCTTAAATCATACTGCAAAGGGGAACAGAACTTTGCTAAACTCATTTTTTTTGTTCGGGAAAAGTACGAGCTAGCCAGGATTTGAACCTAGAATCTTCTGATCCGTAGTCAGACGCGTTATCCGTTGCGCCACTAGCCCGGATGGAAAATTAGTACGTCATCCTGCCTTCTTAAAGAAACAGTCCGAATTTATACAAGGGTGCCGACTGAATTTGACCAACGTCAGCGTATTTGTATTTACTAAAGGTAAAAACACGTCTATTAAACATTATTTAGATCGTGTGGCGTATTATATCCTACTTATCAATAAACAAAAGAGAAAACATTGTTAGAAAAAAAAAAAAATAGACCCTCGTTGCACCACTATGCCTTTATTAACCAGCAGATGTCGCTGTAGGACCTTGTTATCAACAAGAGGCTGCAACTGCAACCATACGGACGTTACAACCTATGGTCACCATAGGTTTGGGTAAACAGATACTTAATTAATATGTCTAAATGTTTGTGCATTAGTTGCATTCATGACTATTGCAGGGAACTATAGCCTACTGCAGTGACATATCAAATAACTTCCACCGATCTCAGCATAACCAGCAGGCACAACACAAGCTCAAAAAATAGTCCTCACTTCCAAACTGTATTCAAACACAGCACACGCAGAAGGAATCTAAGCATCTTCAGGTGGGGAAAAGGAACGAGCTAGCCAGGATTTGAACCTAGAATCTTCTGATCCGTAGTCAGACGCGTTATCCGTTGCGCCACTAGCCCGCGTACCATAATGAACGTAATTTCGGCTATTTAAAGGGAGAGTATGGAGTTTTTAAATATTGACGACGATTTTATTTATCCACAAGAGTTGGTATCTTACTGTAAACAAATAAATAATACACGTCTATTACACATTATTTACATCGTATGGCGTTTTCTAAGCTAATTTTCAATAAACAAAAAGAAAAAATGTAAATGAAAAATAGACCCTCGTTGTCCTTTCTTAACCAGCAGATGTCGATGTCGGACCTTGGCTGTACCAAAGAACGTTACAACGGTTACAACCAATGCTCAGAAATAATTAACTGATCTATCTGAATGTTAATGCATTCGTGTTCATTCATTAGCCTACTATTTGCAAGGAGTTATACTGCAGAATTATAATAATTGTTTCTGTAGAAAACTGTTCTACACGGGTGTAGGCCACATTGTAAAGCTTATTCTCCTGATTTTTCTTTATATCACCATGGAAGAACAGTTTCTGCTTTGGCTTCATCTGATTGGTCAATTATATGGACACGCAGAGCATGAGTGCATGGCACGTGCATTTCACTTGTGACCCTCTCATCTTTTTCACATTTGATTAAAGTTATTTTAGTAGTGTTTTAACTTTGCAAGCCCAGGCCTTTGTGGATTGCTTGAGACTACATCTACACAGTGTTTCCAGCTATTTCAACCAGCCAACTTCTACCGACACAAGCCAACAACAGTCCACAAATGGACAAGCGGCAGCACTTCCAAACTGTATTCAAACCATAGATTCAAACACACTCACAGCATAAGCAGAAGGATTGCAAACGTGGATGTGATGCGCTGCAGTCAATCCGTTTCCGCCGCGGCCATGGCTAATTGAGGCGTTTTCCTTTCCAATCTGCAGAGGGGGGAAAGTTAAAAAGCTCCAATAATGTCCATTGAAAGTAAAACTCTCTCCGTTATCCCAAGCGTCCATGTGTTCTGTCAGCTTAGAATATGGTCCATGAAGTCGTGTCTTTGTTGTGCCGATCTTTTTTTGGACTAATTGTAGCACATAGGCTAGCTTCCAAATAAATAATTAGCTTGAGAAGCTAAACTCGGCTAATCACTGTGACTCGTTCCAAGGAAAAGTCTGTGCTGAAGTAAAAGCTTTACGATGTGTATTGAAGAAAATAGGACCAATAAAAAAAAAAAACAGGACTATAATTGAAACAGTTCATCTTTTTTTGTGATTCCCAAAACCGCCACACTACAGGTCTGCAACAGGTGGACTAATGCCTTTAACCACACCCAGGTGACATTTTACCGGAAATGACAAAAAAAACGTATGCGCAGTGCTAAACCGACCCTAGCCCCTACCTTATACTGAGGTAACAAAGTAAGAAAACAACATTTCATTCTATTCATGAAAAGTAGATGAAGGTATAGTATAGCCAGTGGTGTAAAGTAACTAAGTATATTTACTCAAGTACTGTACAATTTTGAGATACTTGTACTTTACTTGAGTATTTCCATGTTTTGCTCGTTTGTACTTCTACTCCACTAAAATCCACAACAAGTAAATTGTGTACTTTTACTACACTACATTTGTTTAATACCTTTAGTTACTTTGCAGATTTGCATTAATGATGTGAAACCATATTGTGAAACATAATCAACAATTAAATCAGAAGCAGCTACCCTGCAGTATACAAAGTCATTAAAACTAGCTGCACCTTTACCAACTTTGAGAACACTTTAACGCATCAATAATTATAATCAAAACATCATATATTATTTTGAAATGGACCAATCATAATGAGTATTTTAACTTTATACTTTTGTACTTTTAGAGTAACTTTTTGAATGCAGGACTTTTACTTGTAGAGTAATCCTACCCTCTCGTACTTCTACTTTTACTTAAGTACAAGATCTGAATACTTTTACCACCTCTGAGTAGAGTAGACAAATGGGCTACTATAACAGTGTTTGTATTGAACAATCTAAAATTGAGCTGTCTAGCTGGCTGGAGCTTTAAACTTCAAATGATTGCCTTTCTTATGGCTAAACTTTCCTATTGGAATACCGGGCAACTCCTGATAGTGCAGCATAAACTGAATGCATTATAGATTCTCATGACATATTCATAAAATAGGAACTTTAATCAGTGATTTGATGATATATTAGGTGGGCCAGATAAACCACATGTATGCATATTCTCTACTGTAGTGCAGTTTTGTTTTGGCTGCTTGAAACACAAGCCATCAGATTGTTTCGTAATTTTTAAATCGAACCAACATCAACACTGTGCAGAGGGAGGTTAGCCTCAGCAGTGGCTGTGCGCTATACCAACATATAAACCAACAT